TATGTCCAGTTCTTATTCCAATCTGAAACTGACTTGGTTTCTGTTAAACTTCGGTCTCCATGGATATTCAACAATTGGTTTGTTGCCTCTCATCGGTGGGAAGACTTCCCAGATCTGGATTTTCTAACCACCATTGACCTTTGGGTGCAAATTCGTGGAATTTCTCTCACATATGTTTCTGATGGAACAATCAGGTTTATAGCTCAAACTCTAGGTGAAGTCATCTATGTGGATTTTAGTGATGAGATCACTACTCAAATCACCTTTACTAGAGTTCGAGTTCGCTTTGAAATCACTGCATGCTTAAGGTTTTTCCGACGAGTTTGCTTTGAATCTAGAGAAAGAGCTATGCTTAGTTTCCAGTATGAGCACCTGAGAAGGATTTGTAGTAACTGTCTTCGAATTACACATCACCGCAGCTATTGCTCTTACAACAACCCTCCTCCTACTCCAAGGAGTAGTCCTGAAGTTCTTGATGTGCCTGTTTTCAACAGAAGCAGGGTTTGTGATGAAGACAGAAGATATGATCTTAACTCTCAATCTCAAAACTCTGACAACTCCTTTCCTGCTCCATTATCTCCACCACCAAGGGTAAACTGTCCACCTTTGAATACTGATGAACTTGCAGCTGCCTCTCCTTATTTTCCAGGTTTAAGTTACGAAGGACTTCGACACTCTGCACAACCAACACCTCAACCAACATTATAGAGGAGACAGTCTTCTATAGAATCAAACATTTCACTCACCAATGAGGAAGATATCTCTTCAAGAATGCCAAGGAATTTTGAGGTTGGTGAATTATCTAGACGCCCAAGTTCAAATCTCAACAATCGTGCTGAAGAAAGAGGAGAAATTCTGAAGCCTCCTAAAAAACGCTGACTGCTCTACAAACTTGTGTCATAACTTTTTGGGTCCCTGTAATTTGTCATTACAGGTTTACTTAAGTTTGTTTGGTTAAGTAGAATAAGTTCTAGAACAGATAATATCATTTTTTGGGCTCTGTTTTAGAATAGTGAAGGGATTATCACTCTTCCCTTTCATACTTTTGTTGTTATAGTTTCAAGTAAGCCCTTTGTTTACTGTGGCTTCGTTAACTTTTGTAATGGCTCTGTTTTGGCTTAATAAAAAATTAACACACTTGTGACAAAAAAAAAAAAAAAAAAGATAATCCATTCCATGCGTTTAAACATTGGTTTGGTTTACTTGAATATTGGTTTGGTTTAATTGACACTCTCCAAACGGTCATAAATCGTTTCAGCTTTCAGCTTTCAGCTTTCAATTACGATCTTTCGACCGTTTGGTCTCTAAAACCCAGAAGAAATCAGCACCGACTTGGAGAGAAAATCCTCAATAATAAGAAGTCGCTTCTCTGTCTTAAGGCTCTCAACGGTCCAATTTCGTTTCTCGAAATTCAAACAAAAAATTTCTGATTTTGTGTTTCTCTCTACAACGATAGATCTAGATTATGGTTTCCAATACTGATTTGTGGCGGAAAGTGTCGGACAACCTTAACAAATCATTTTTGATTGGTTGTGTTGGAAAGTGTCGGACAACCTTAAAGAATGATTTCTGAACCCTTCAGAAGAAGGATGAACAATTCTGAACCCTTCAGAAGAAGGATGAATGATTCTGAACCATTCAGAATATAAGGACTAATGATTTCTGAACCCCCTAGAAGAAGGAGAAACTATTCTGGAAGCCTCTACTGATGGAGCATCTCTATGCTGAGCGTCAGAAGAAGGATGAACAATTCTGAACCCTTCAGAAGAAGGATGAATGATTCTGAACCCTTCAGAATATAAGGACTAATGATTTCTGAACCCCCTAGAAGAAGGAGAAACTATTCTGGAAGCCTCTACTGATGGAGCATCTCTATGCTGAGCGGTTTAGTGTAGGGTTTAGAAATCATTCTTCCTGAATGTAGTGTAGGGTTCTCTGCAAACCCTAAACATCCATCCACTGAATCAGTGATTTGGATCATCACATCCTTAGATTCTTGTGTTGATGAGCATTGTCTTTTGTTTCATAGGAATCATGTGAATCGCCATAACCACATATACTTTGTTCTCTCAATTCATGTGAGTTTGATTCAATTCTTTAGCTGTATTCATAAATGCTCACGCATTACGTAATTATGTTGTATATAAGAACTCACGCACGTCCTAAAGAAAGTAGCAATGTCGTGAATAAAGAAAAAGGTAACTAAACAAAAAAAAATTTGATTCGAATATAAGAAGATGGTTTAGGAGATGAGAGAGTAGAGAGTGAGAGTATGACTTCATCATATAGTTAGCAGCCACTTCCTTCACTTTGTGGATGATGTTAGATCTGCTTGGAAAACGTTGATCCGTTGTAGAAATTTGACCTAGCTTTTTGTCCGTCGGGATACGGTTCGGTTCGGTATAAACCCGACTCGAACAGAACCATTCGGGTTAGAAAACAACTCAACCAAAAACAACTCGGTTTACTGCGATTTCATTCCCTTTTACGAATCAATTGCTTCAGTTTGGTTTGGTATTTTTCATTTCCTTATTGTTGTGACATCGATTCTTTGTTGTTTGTGTTAGGAAAATAGATGCATAACTACCTATTTTGTGATAGAGCATCCCAAAAACTATCCTATCGTTTTTCTCATCATATATGGGAGGTGGTTCATCTCATTCACTAAAAATCCATCTTCTCTGTCTTTATCTTTTTTCTACCTTCTCGGTCTCTTTTATTTAGTCTCAAGCAAAAATGGAAGGACGTACGAAGCTTGACACTTTCCACCACAACCAATCAAAAATCATTTGTTAAGGTTGTCCGACACATTCCGCCACAACCAATCAAAAATCATTTGTTAAGGTTCAGAATCATTCATCCTTCTTCTGAAGGGTTCAGAATTGTTCATCCTTCTTCTGAAGGGTTCAGAAATCATTTGTTAAGGTTGTCCGACACTCTCCACCACAACCAAGAGTGAGAAAAACGAAAAGCACGAATATAAGAAGATGGTTTAGGAGATGAAGAGAGTAGAGAGTGAGAGTATGACTTCATCATATAGTTAGCAGCCACATCCTTCACTTTGTGGATGCTGTTTTCTAGTTGCAACTTATCTTCATACGATAGTCTCAAGCGAGCCACACAGAATCATTCATCCTTCTTCTGAAGGGTTCAGAATTGTTCATCCTTCTTCTGAAGGGTTCAGAAATCATTTGTTAAGGTTGTCCGACACTTTCCACCACAACCAATCAAAAATCATTTGTTAAGGTTGTCCGACACTTTCCGACACTTTCCGCTCCCCCGAGACGTAGCGGTTAAGCCGTGAACTCGGTTATCAATTTCTGTGTTTGTTTCTCTTACAAGCAACCGTTCAGTTTCGTTTTCTCTACAGTTTCTCTTCCCCAAGTGTTGATTTCTCTTCCTAGGTTATTGTATGGATCGTAGATCTGCTTGGAAAACGTTGATCCATTGTAGAATGCTGATGGTTTTTGTCGTTTGTTTGGAAAAAGAAAACGAGGAACCCATGTGCCGGAAAGACTCCTCCGGAATAAACTGCACCATCACACAAAAGTTGAAAATATATCATAAAACAAACTAACATCAGAGGTAAAAAGTCATGACTTGCCTCAGTTATCCCCTTCAAATCAGATTTAACTTAGAAATGCTGATGGTTTTTGTCGTTTGTTTGGAAAAAGAAAACGAGCTTAAACGGAGTCTTCCCGGCACGACTATAGCGAAACGTAGACGCGCCAGGAATACTCTCTTTTTAGTAGTACTTGTTTTGGTACAACTCTTAACAACATCTCCAAACTTTAGATATTTACGTGTGAAAAAAATTGTAATGGGTATCAGTGCCCAGCCCTAGTTCACACAACACCTAGCTAATTGTTATAACAAAATAGAGAAAATTAATACTCTGCATTATGCTCACTTGCATGTAAATATCTAAGTTTCTAGGTCGACTAATGAAAAATCCAAAGGTTAACCAGCCAGCCAGAATTCATTCATTTCCCCAGTAGAGTCCTCCAAATTTTGCACTTCATCTATGTGGTTAGTGTTTATAGAGCTAATTCATCATTCATATCTGGTTAAGGAACCCATGTGCCGGAAAGACTCCTCCGGAATAAACTGCACCATCACACAAAAGTTGAAAATATATCATAAAACAAACTAACATCAGAGGTAAAAAGTCATGACTTGCCTCAGTTATCCCCCATGTGCCGGAAAGACTCCTCCGGAATAAACTGCACCATCACACAAAAGTTGAAAATATATCATAAAACAAACTAACATCAGAGGTAAAAAGTCATGACTTGCCTCAGTTATCCCCTTCAAATCAGATTTAACTTAGAAATGCTGATGGTTTTTGTCGTTTGTTTGGAAAAAAAAACGAGCTTAAACGGAGTCTTCCCGGAACGACTATAGCGAAACGTAGACGCGCCAGGAATACTCTCATTTTAGTAGTAGTTGTTCTGGTACAACTCTTAACAACATCTCCAAACTTTAGATTTTTACTGTTGATCAAATCTTTTTCTGAAGTGATGCTAGTTTTTCTTGGGCTTTTGTTATCCTAGTTTTTTTTTTTTTTTTTTTTGTTAGGGCTTTGTTGGCCCATGTATGATATGTTTCATCAATAAAATCCCACTTGTGAAAAAAAAAACAAAAAACGACATTCATTATTCACTTCTCTCCCAAAAAAATCGCTGAAACGACACGATTCTGTAAAATGAAGCCGAACGGTCAGATGGTGGTGAGTTTATTGATGGTGAGAGGCGAAGTTCTACGAATCTTATAACTTCTGAAAAACACTTCCTTCTTCTTCCTTTTCCTCATTTCTCCGAGGGATTTTCTAGGGTTCTGTTCTTTTTTCTCTGTGGCTTTGTTTTACTAATTCTTTTGGTTGGCTTCTGACAAATCCGTAAGTCTTACGGAGTATTCTTGTCGTTGTTGCTTTTTTCTTTTTCAGGATTGGAAAAACACAAGTTCCGTCGAATGTTTCAGTATCTTGGATTTGTAAAGATATGGCGAAAATGAGTGAGTTGTCTGATGACTTGCTGGTGATGATATTGTCGTTTCTTCCAACAAAAGTTGCTGTATCCACTAGCGTTTTGTCTAAACGATGGGAGTTTCTTTGGATGTGTTTGCCTAAACTTGAGTATGATGATATCAATGACATCAATGTTTCTGAATTGTCTTCATGCCAGAGGTATCGAAATTTTATTGACAAGAATCTGGCATTATACAGAGCTCCGATCATTGAAAGCTTGCGGCTCAGATTTCTTCATGATGTAATTTGCCCTGAGGATATCAAACGTTGGGTTGGTATTTCAGTTTCTCGCCGTGTTCAAGAGCTAAGTATAATCTATATTACTACCTGTAATGAACCTGTGTTATTGCCGAATAGTTTGTATACCTGCAGTTCGCTTGTGGCTTTAAATCTTAGCAGTAGGGTGATTCTTGTGGAAGTTCCTGGTATGGCTTATCTCCCGTCCTTGAAAACCTTGCAAATCAGTGAGGTGACATACTCAACCGAAGAATCTCTTGAGCTGCTTCTGTCTTGTTGCCCTGTTCTGGAAGATCTGAGTATTGAACGATATAAGAATGACAATGTGAAAGAGTTGGTTATTATTGTCCCGTCCTTGCAGCGTTTAACCTTAGAGATAAGCAGTGAATGTTTTTCTGATGAGGTTGTGATAGTAACTCCTTCTTTAAAATATTTCAAAGTTACGGATCAAAGAGACGCTTTCTCCTACTTGATTAAAGGTATGCGAAAACTTGAAGAGGCAGTTATCGATGTTGAGCAGAATCCGGAGAAGCTTCTCATATCAGTCACATCTGTCAAACGGCTTATATTACGCGTACATACCAACCATGGCGTAGATGTAATATTTTTCAATCTCTCAGCATCAAGATTTCAGTTGCAATATAGTACTTATAGCAATAAATATGTTGCGTTTTCACGTGTGCAGCCTGTGTATCATGCTGGTATTGTCTTCAAGCAGCTTGAATATCTGAGGCTACATATTTGTAATGATGATTGGTCGAAGTTACTTGTCCAATTGCTCCAAGATTCTCCTAAACTTCTAATCCTCAATATCTTCGCTTATACTGTAAGTTTCTTTGTTGACTCTTTTTCGGTCTTAAATGGTAGTATTAACTGTCTCCTTTATATCTCAGAGTGAGAGATATCCATGGCTTCGGGAGTGGGAACCGTGTAGCTGGAACATTGAACAGAGCTCTGTTCCTGAATGTTTGTTGGAGAGTCTTGAAACTTTCGAGTTTTCAGGGTACACCGGAAGACCAGAAGAGTCAGATTTCTTTAGTTTTATCTTAAAAAATGCTCGTTACTTGAACTCTTTCTTAGTCTTGCGTGAAAAGAAGATTGTTTTTATTGATTTTTAGGTTTGTTTTGTTGTCAAAGATTATGGATAGTAATATAGTATCCATACTGAATCCTTTACGTTTTAATGCCATTCCGAGCAAGGTGTGACACAGGATATACACACCAAAGAGATCAAGGGTTTTGCTGGATATGCACATCGACAAGATGATCTAATTTTAAAGAGTGTTTTTTTTTTTTTTTTAACACAATCTAATCTTAAAGAGAAAGATAGATGAGTTCTCAAAGAGAATACAAAAGGGTTTATAAAGGGAAAAGAGAAGAGAAGGGACCAAAACACAGGGTTTTATAAATGACTATAAAATGAAAAATGTTTATAAAAAAACGATATTAGGTTGTTCATCAACTTACCCGATCTTATAATTCCTTAAACATACCAAAAAGAATCCATCAACCTACCCGAGAACATGATAGAACATGTAGAAACATACAAAAAACCACACATGTGTTCACCAAAAAAAATCACAGACACATGTTAATCAAGTTAGTTTGGGGAAAAACAAAACATTAGTAGAATTCATACACTAATATGTATTGGCCTGCCAAAACCTATTCAAGATATGTATTAGCCAGCCAAAACATTAAACAGAACATATTAACCATGAACAAAAGATCGATAGCGTTCAATTAAGGTCAAGCTATCTTCACGCTTCATCTTGGTGCCCGAGGTTTCACTCTTAGGGACTATAAACCAAATTGGAATATGAACATCTCCCTGAGCCTGAGCCTGAGCCTGAGCCTGAGCCTGAGCCTGAGCCTGAGCCTGAGCCTGAGCCTGAGCATGAGCATTGGCCTCATCCTCCGCACTAAGGTAAATGAACAAGGGATTAAAATTTTCCAATGTATTGAAAGGATCAACCGTACATACCAACTAGTTATAGAAATGCATAATATACTAATTAGCTTAAAACAATGTAAACCCAAGAAATAAAGCAAGCCTACAAATAGCCACCAGTTATATACACGATGTTAGAAACCGATCGACAACTAAATATTGATTTCAAATCAAGGGACTAAAAAAAAAACCTAGGCAAAGCAAGAGTCTTGAAACAGAAAATATACGATGAGAATTCTGTGATTAGAGAGACTTAATTGCAACGCTTGTGTTAACAACATTATCTAATTGCAAAGATCTTACAGTATATGATCATAAATGTTCGCCTCAGCCGCAACCTGAGCCTTAGCACGAGCCAAAGCAATGAAAGCATCTTCCTGATTAAAATGAACACCAGGCAGAACACGATCCTCGGCACTAAGGTAAATGAACAACAGATTAAAATTTTTCAATGTATTGAAAGGATCAACCATACATACCAACTAGTTATAGAAATGCATAGTATACTAATTAGCTTTGTAAACCCAAGAAATAAAGCAAGCCTACAAATAGCCACCAATAATATACACGATGTTGGAAACCCATCGACAACTAAATACTGATCTCAAAGCCAGGGACTAAAAAACAAACCTAAACAAAGCAAGAGTCTTGAAACAGATAATATACGATAGACTTAATTGTAACACGAGGTCTTACAGTATATAACGATAGGTGACCGGTGATAGCACAGTGTCCTCATACCAAGTTGTTGCTTCAGGAGAGGAGCAGGTTGTTGCTTCCAAAGAGGAAAATGCTGTTGCTTCCGAAGACATCTCCAAATTCACAATGTGGTCTGGAGAGCTCGGATTCGGACTCACAGTCTATCGAAACAAGAACTTCAGATTATTAGAGAAGAAATTTACATCGGTAACTTGCTTAGATTCAAACATAAATTTCATTGAAACCCTAAGAAAAAATTGGACAAGCACTCGAACTTACATGGTTAACTTGTTCGTTATTTTCAGCAGGGATTCGAATAATCAAAAAGAAGAGAGAGGCACAAATAATGATAGAACATACAGAAGCCAGCATTACAAAAGCAATTCCGGAATCCATTGAAACCCTAAGAAAGAAGGAGAGCAAAAGTTTTGCAGGGAAAAAGGGTTCTCTGAGAGAATTGCGTCTGAGAGAAAAACGTCTGAGAGAACTCAAACCAACGCTTCCTTTTCTTTTTTCTTTTTTTCTTTTTAATTTCTTTCAATGCACGATGATCAATAAAAAAATAAAAGTAATCATTTAATGCATTTTTAGGGGTAACTAGAAGAGCAGCAGTTTGACAAGCTAAAAGTAATCATTTCTTTTAGCTGACCAGCCATGTTAGATGTAAGTCAGATGTCAAATTAAAGTGTTAGCTCAAAAAGTAATCATCTATAGTAGAAGAGGATTTTAATCACATTATTTTAAGTAGTTATTTAAAAAAAAGGCATTAGTTTAGTTTACTGGTTGTTTCATCTATGTTATGAGTTCCAATATATTATGTACCAAATTCTCTGTTTCTGTACCAAATATTTCACGCTTTCTATGTTTGTAATATATCTTTTTCATGGGTGAGTTACACAATGGAACACTTTCTGTGACTTTCGTAACAAAAGACACACTTTTTAACATTTTCATCTTTTTTTAACTGTTCATAAAAAATCAATACCACTTTGCCCCTGAAAGTAACCGATCTCGGGTTTGAAATTGATGCTGGTTGGACAATGTAGTTAAAGTCTTCTAGTTAGAGTAAATTACAATTACGAAAAGGTATAAGACTTTTAGATCTGGTTTAGGGTAAATAATCGATATGGAAAGCGAAGAAGTCTCGATGATGGCGACGGTGAGTTGTTCGTGGGAAATTGTTCATACTGTCAACTTGTTCAGGTCATTGTCTTTCATTAAGGATTTCTATGTGATAATGACATATATTATGTTTTGGTTTCATTGGCAGAAAATTTGGCACTGTTATGTTATTTGCGGGGAATGGCTCTGCAAAGCTTGTGGAAAGTGGGAATTTAAAGTTGATCAGGCAAGAAGATCTAGGATTGTGCCTGTATTTGACGGCATATCACTGTCGGAGATGAAAGAAGCAGTTGTGCAGGAGTTCGGGGTTGATGTTGGATCTCTAGTCACGCTTAGCTACTGGTCACCAAACAGCCTCAAATTAGCTACAGGAGTTAACACACCCCCTGTAATGGTTACAACCGTTGTTGGATTAGACTACTTTTTGAAGATGGCGGTTAATAACGAAACACTGAACTTGTGTGTGACATTCGACGAGTTGAGGGAGAGTTTGAGTAGGAAAAATTATGGTAGAAGTCTAGTAATGGGTTTGAGCGATGAATTAGCAACGGCTGGAACATCTATTAGTTTGGATGAGGAGGAATTAGTAGACGAAGTCTTGGTGGTTGAAGCAAAGAGAGGCAGTAAGAGAGGGCCAATTGTTAGCGAGGCAGATTGTACTTATAACTCGGATGGGTTAGAGGAAACTGGAAAAGAATCACCGATTGAAGAATGGGATAACACGGCGGAAGATGGAGTCCGAGGGGATGATTATGTGATGCCAGCAGGGTATGATAATGATTTCTGGAATAATTTCATTGATGAAGATTTGGGAGGTACCAACGCTGTTGATGTAATGTGCAGTGGTGAAGAAGCATTGGGGTTTAGATTGGACGGAATATCTGATGAGGAGACACTGCCAGAATGTTCTGATCCAGGTGGACAGGTTCCTGTGGAACAACGGGAGTTAAGAGATGTGGATGATGAGGAGTTTGATATTCCCCCGATGTTTGACGATACTGAGTATGAAAGAGACCCAATACCAGATTTGGATAGAGACGATGGTGATGAAGTTTACAAAGGGAAGGTATACGCAAGTAAAGAGGATTGTCAAATAGGCTTAGCAATTTATGCTATTAAAAATATGTTCCACTACAAACAAACAATGACAAAGCGAGAGTCGTTTGTGTGTAATTGTTCTGATCAAAGGTGTGAGTGGAGGATACTGGCTGTGGAAAAGAGGGAAAGTGGGTATTATGAGATACGTAAAGCACAACTTGAGCACACATGCACAACTGAAACCAGGCAGAAGTACATGAAGAAAGCAACAGCGAAGGTTATAGCTGCAGTGTACAAGGCAAAATTTGGTGAGCCGGTAAAAGGCCCTAAACCAATGGATCTGCAACAGTTAGTTCTTGAGGAACTTAGGGTATCAAGTTCGTACATGAAGTGTTGGAGGGCAAGATCGAAAGCTATTGAGGAAGTTCATGGAAACGATCTTGATGCATTTTCAAAGTTGGAAGAATATTTGCATCTCCTTAAGCTTGCAAATCCAGGGACAATAACAGATATTGTTACAGATATTGAGGAAAATGGAAATGAGAGGTTTTTGTACATGTTCTTGGCATTTGGTGCATCAATAACAGGTTTTAGGAAACTGAGAAGGGTGTTGGTTGTGGACGGTACGCACCTAAGAGGAATTTATAAAGGGGTGTTGTTGACAGCAAGTGGACAAGATGCCAATTTCCAGGTATTTCCCTTGGCGTTTGCAGTTGTCGATAGTGAGAATGATGCATCATGGACTTGGTTCTTCCAGAAGGTGGAGCGAATAATTGCAGACTGCCCTACTCTTACAATAATATCAGACAGGCACATGTCGATTTATACTGCCAAGCATAGGGTCTTCCCAAAGGCACATCATGGGGCGTGTATAGTGCATCTAGAGAGGAATGTAACAAGCAAGTTCAAGAACAAAGGTCTTGGGAGGATGGTAAGAAATGCTGGTTGCGAGTTTAAAGTATCTGCATTCAATAAGATATACAAGGAGATAAAAGCAAAGAACAATGAGTGTGGAACATACCTATTTAACATTGGAATGGCTCATTGGACAAGATGTTATTTCCAAGGTGAAAGGTACAATCTCATGACAAGCAACATAGCTGAAACGTTGAATAAGGCGCTGAAAGAAGGAAGGGCGTCGCCTATTGTTGAGTTGCTAGAGTTTATACGCGCTATGCTTACAAGGTGGTTTAGTGCAAGGCGGAAAAAATCTCAAAAACATAAGGGGCTGGTGCCACCATACGTGGACAAGGTTATGTTGAAGACAATGTTAAGGATGGAAGGGAGCAAGATTGGGAGTGTGACTGA